CAGACATTAATTTGATCCTCTGCAAGAAGACACAATGTGGGCCATGATGACTTCCTTCACACTTCTGTCCATCAGGCTTACCCCTGCCCTGCTTCTGCCATGAGCTTCAGAGAAGAGTTCATTATGTCCCTTCAGAGAATGCAGCATAAGTAGGAAAAGAAGCCACTTCCTGGGAGAGCCAGAGGCTCCAGGACAGAGGCCAGCTAGTGTGGCAAGATCGCCCCATAAGAGGGCCAACTGCTGCTGCCATCACAGGAGGCTGATGTAAGGTGCTAAGACCAGCAGAGAGCCCAGGGCAAAACCACTGTGGATGGAAACCCTGCACAAAACAGCAAGATCAGACACTCTTTCATTGACATTGATGTTTTTAGTTGCTCTGTCATGCCTACCTTGGTGACCTAAATTGGTGTCATAAATTGATTAAAAATATTTCACTTTCATTGTCCTTTTGACTTTGGGGAAGAACCAAAAAGTCACACTATGCTAGATCCAGTGAATAAGGTGAATGAGGACACATAATCATATTTTTATGAGCCTGTCTGACGCCACAGCAGTGTTCACTGAATTTTGATCACACCTTGTAGACATTCATGAAAGAGTACTTACAGAACTGTTTCAGAAATGTCAAGAATAATGGCACAAGTGTGCTCGAACTGTGGGGATAGAGAGTAATTTGAGGGGGATTACTAACAGTGTCTTTTACTGGATAAGTCTAACTTAAATATTCACCCTATACTTTAATTACCCCTTATACATCATTCAAAACATGAGTCTGAGTTTGAGGAAGGCTAACTGCTGGAGTATCATGGGTACAGGGACAGGGGTCTCTTCTTTGTTTGCTTTGTCCATACAAAGCTGGCCTGCCTCCTAACCTCCATGCTGGGTCCTGCACAGGTCCCAAGTGGCTAGGAGGGCAGTATATTGACACTGGGTGCTGAAGATCTTGGGGGACCCTATGTGTGTCAGGGCCAGTTCCTCACAGATTTTCCAGTTGGCCTCTCTGACAAGAGGGAGAAATAACCTGAGGCTGGGAGAGAAGATGAAAATGAGAGAAGGGACAGGATGACACACAACACTGTCTCCTCAGAGGAGTAAGCTGTGAATCCAGACACAACCAAGTGACCCAGATCCATTTCTCCACAGGACAGAACCTATCAGCTGCTGAGAGTTTCTCATCACACATCATTGGAGAATCCTGCAGAAACTGTCAAGGGAGGTTCTCTACTGTAAGGAAAAGTCAACTGGCAAAGCCTCTGTTCAGGACACATTATTAACACAGCAGTAACAATTTTACCTGATTTATCATCAAAAGATTTTGCACTCCAACATGTTGGATTGACTCTAAAGTAAATTATTGTTATTACAAAGTATTTGATCATATATCAAATTTTTATACCAACTTAACCAAGAAAGGTTAAACTGATATGTGAATAAACAAATAGCAAAGCTTAAAATTTTTCTTAAAGGAACAAAAGTTCAGTATTGTTGACTGATAAGCAGTCATTTCTTGTTCCTTTACAAAGTGATAGCTTTCCAAGTATTCCTACAATGGACGATGTTGAATTAGGTAAAAGACCAAAACAAAGAGAGTTAAAAGCCCCAGACATTTCAAAAGCAAACTCTAATTTGGAGAAATCAGAATTTTTACTTGGACCTCATGAAAAGCACCATGTCATATGCACAATAGAATCTGCCTGGGGAAGGTGGAGTTTGGTTAAGCATTCCAAAATGTCAAGCTTCCCTCAGAATCACTCCTTCCTTCTCTCCCTTTTCTGGTTGTGAACAGAGTGGTGCTCGGAAGACTGGCTATGTCTTACACTACTTTATTCTTTGTCTTCAAAGCAGGTTACAAATATTTCTCTGGATAATAAAAGGAAAATAACAGGAATCAATTTCCACTACAATTTATGTATGTGCCATTCATGATCAAGGCAGCACCACTCCCTCGAGGACTTGTAAAACATGTCACAGCCATGGTCCTGATAGTATTTTCAGGTTCACTTACAAATCCCACCAATGCTTTAGAACATACAGGTAAATATTACATGTGTGGGCTGTCATGTGTTCACTGTTCTGTCTTTATTGTAAGTTGAAAACAAGTCCTTTTAAACAACTGCAATGAGATGGACTAAACCTTCATCTTTCAGTGTCATGAGAGAGAACCAGGTGTGCATGCACTTGTGCGTGCAGTTCCTTACCAGCTGGGACTCTAACACATCGGTTCTCCTGATGACAGATCAGAAAGGTAACTGGCACTCGGGGCACACACTTCATGTAGTTTCTATAGAAAGGTGGGAACAAGGGTGAGCAGCACCCGGAAATCCTATCTACCCCAAACCAGCACCACCCTCTCCTCAGAGCAACAACCTTACCCAGTGTCTCTGCTGGACCAAAGGACGTAGAACTAAGCAGCTTCCAGGGTCACAGGGCTAGAAAGTGGCAGAGTGTGGACGGGTTGGGCTTGGTTCCCTCACCCATGGCTCATTCTCCTTATAGCTTCACAGTTCCCTGAAACCCAGAGACCTGGTCCTCCCCAGAACCCCTGAGAAGAGAACTGCCATTCTAAGTTGCATCTTGTTGATTTGCTTCTCCCACCACACATACGCTTGGAGGAGAGAAGAAACACAGACCACCTCCCTCCCAACGCCCGAGGGTGCATCATTGGTGGGGGCAGTGAGGACTCCACTAGCAGGTGCAGGGGAAACAGAGCTGTCCAGCACTGCCCTCCTGAGTGCCTCTGTCCTTTCCAGGGAAGAATAGTGGGTGGCAGAAGGGTCCTCTGCCATCACACAGACCACAATAGGCAGA